AGCCATCCAGAAGTTGTGTTTAATGAGGATAATACTAATACTAATAATAATGGTAATGATTTGGAGTATCCTGGGTCACAGGCTCTGGCCCAATACTCTGCTTGACATTTCCTGCATTATGAGGCGATAGGGTTATAATGATAATTAAATAATAATCATGATGATGTCACCTCTTTTTTGAGACCTATCACAGAAATCAGGCTCTGCTTTTGGTCTTTAGTGGACTGTACTGTTAGTTTTAGTGATAAGAAGGACCCGCATTGAAAAAGTCGGCCTTAAACGTTGGTTCACAGAACACACACCTTGACTCCTCACAAGAAGGCAAAAAAGCAAACAAACTGAAGAGAATAATAATTATTTTTCACAAAGCACTTTAAGAGGTGTTCAAAAAAGGTATAAATACTCACATTAAACATTAAAGCCGTTTTCAGTTCCGTACACTATGTAACTCTTAATATTATAGGTAATATTAGAGTCTGTACCTGCATTACACACAGTGTGTGTGATTTATGTAGAATTGTAGTGTGTAAACTATCAAGAGATTTTTTTTTCGTTAATTTAAGTGCCTTAATGGTTTTCTTGGGCACCTCTTAATGTGCTTCAAGGCAAAAATATACTTTTTTTCAAGGTTCTGTTTTTTACCTTCTTGTGAGGACTCAAGATGTGTGTTCTATGGACCAACTTATGGGGACCCTTCAGGGGTCCTCATTATGATGGTCTAGTTTCAAAGAACTACCCATTTAAGAGGACTTTTTGAGTGGGGTCCCAGAAATGTCCCCATAATTTGAACAGACCCCACTTTGCTGGTGTGTGTTCATATGAATGTCCCCGCAAGTATGCAGCGGTGAGCACACACACACACATACACAATTCAATTAAGTAACACATGTCGAGCTTACAGTATTTTAATAGTAAAACAATTATATAAAAAGCGAAGTTTCAATAAAAAACAATGTTTTTATGCAGTAACTCCATCCTTGGTAACTTCAAATGGCTGTGGCACATCCATGGCTCCACTTTGAGTAATCTCTACTCTCTGAACTGGGTGGCTAACTGCATCCGTCTTAACATTCTCAATCTTTTTTACTACATCCTACATATACGAAAAAAGTTAATTTTCGAGGGCATTAAAATACAGCAACTAGACTCACAAAGCCTTTTTAAATTACTTCGGTGAACCATCCATGCCAGCCCAGTGCCAAAAAAGTGATATACAGTGTAGATATGAGGTAATACTTGGATAAAGATCTAAACCCCTAAGCAGGAATCAAACCCTGGACCTCCCGGCTGGCGGCTGAACTATCACTGACTCCGTTGCCGGGATAGCCAGGCTCCATTACCAGCCGCTGTTCCAGAAAATCGAGCCTAATGGCGGTGACATATCTTCAGTACAAATAGAAAGTTAATGAGAGATCCATTATATACTCTAACTTTTGAAAAACCTTTATTAATGGTTCATTTTTAACCACTGTAAGTGTATGTTTTTGGCTTTTGATGGTTAGGATGGAAACGGATTGAAACTTGAAAAAACAATGGGCGAACGTTTTCAAGTTAAGCAGCTTTGTTGTCGAAAAATGGCCAAACCTTATCATGCTTCTTTTCCCTCTGATGAAACCATTTGATACTGCAGTGTATCGCGTACTTTCACGTGACATATGTAAGAGAATTGCTTATTATGGGAATAGAGAGGGGTAGTCGTTGCGTCTCGTTGCGAAGGTGGTAAAATTTCAAATCCTTCAAATATAGCAGAAAAAACGAAACACTTGACACTGTAGGACTTTCCCGTGCCCAGTTTTTCACAAGAACAAAATGGCAGCTCATACTTTTCTTCCATGGTTCGACAATGCAAATGGCCGTCTCTGTCAAGAAAGATTGTTAAGATCCAGAAATTTTGCTCCCATGGTAACGGACGTCACACTTCTATATTTTCAGTTGAGCGCGTGGCTGTTAGTAATTGCTTGTTCGTTCGTTGTATAGTTCCCCCGGTAAATACATTTCTAATCATTTACCTTTGATTTAGAGTTTCCAGTATGAGGGAAAGATGGCTGAGGAGTATATTTTGAGCTCAGCTTTGACCAAAAAATGCCGATCTCACCATGAAGTAAAGCCCCTTTAAGCGGTATGAAGTGCGCCATTATATTCCGTCTAGTGGGCAGTAATATCTGACTTCCCGTGATGGACACTTTCGCTTGGTCTACAGTGTGTACATTTAAGAGTGTTTCGACTTAAAAACAAGCAGCAATCTCTTCAAACACCTACCATTCCTTCCAAGACTTTTCCAAAGCACACGTGTTCTCCATCTAACCAGGGTGTTTTGATTGTTGTGATGTAGAACTGTGATCCATTAGTATTTTTGCCAGCATTTGCCATACATAACCAGCCTGGACCAAAGTGCTTCACATCGAAATTCTCATCATTAAAGTTTGTTCCATAAATACTGTAACCTAGAAAAATATCGACAGTAATCTCAGAGTACTAATTCCACTCGGTATCCTAATGAAACAGAAAATGGTCAAGGGCGTTGGAATGAACAAAACATCGTAATAAACGTTACAATGCATTTTTTGAGACAGACATTAAAACTAGCTGGCAGTAAAAAGTAGAATAGACCTACCTCCTGTACCATCTCCTTTGGTAAAATCTCCTCCTAAAAGTAAGAAAAAAAAATCCGCAATGATTTCTGAATACTTGCAAATACGGTTATATTCGCATTTGACGGCTAAATAAGCGAAGACAAAAGATGTATTAGAGTGTCAATTTTTTAACACATCATACCCAAACATCATCACCCAGGAACCATTTTGGAACTAATTTAATAATCTGCCTTCTTCACCATTAATTATTTCGACGAAATCAGTGTGAACGGACTTTGCTTTTTTGTATTTCCGTTCAGTATGTGACATCATTTTAGGCGGCTCCCAAAAGATATGAAAACTCCATGTAAATCGCTTGAGTGCAGTTTCTCAAAGATCGGTTAGAGCTAACTGAAATGTATTTATTTAGAATTTAAACCCGCGATTGGGCTTAACACATAAGCCCGAATGAACATCAAAATAACTACATAATTTAGTATGACTGCTTTTCTTACAAATCAGATCCAAATTTCAACATACCTTGAATCATGAAGTTTTTTACCACTCTGTGAAAAGTACTTCCTTTGTAACCGTAGCCATACTAAAAAACAGATTTAGAAAAATCACATTTAGTAAGTAGAATTGGTCAAAAAAACCTTTCGAAATAAGAGACTGAGGCGTGTTGCTTAAAATGGATAAAAGGGAAGAAATGAAATTTTAAAATAACGCATTTTTTGTTTGATTCCGGGAAATCCATAACTGAGAAGGACAAACAGAATAGCTAATGAATTGTTTTTCTGCCGCCCAGTTCCCTGTAATTCATGTGTAATTTACATACATGGAATTAGCGAATATGTCTCAATGTTTTCATTCATTGTTATTTAATTTCCTAAGTTTCGTAAAAGACTGTCGTTGCAAAGTGACGACTAATTTCCAAACATGATGAACTTCAAGGAAAGAATATTCCCTTTCCTAAGTAACTTATGAGACAGAAGGGAATAACCTCACCTCGTTTCCCGCTAAAGATACAAAGTTTGTGACAGTCTTGGGAACCGTGTTGCCAAATAAACCGAGGACAATCCTACCGGCGGGCTGTCCTCCGATGCCAATGTCGAAAAAAACTTTCCGAGTCACAGTCGTGTCTGGGTCCGCTTTCACCAACATCGCCATATTTAACAGGCAAAACAACGAAACCTTTAAAATCATGGTCACGATGATCTGGTCTCAAAACCTAACTAAAAAATTTAAAATGTTTTTCTCTAAGTAAGGCAGTTTTACAAGACAAGGAAATAAAGAAGATATTAAGATTTAATAACACGTGTCACAGATCACGTTAGCCATTGGAAGGTTAAGTTGACGAGAAACAACGGATCTTTGTTATGAGCAGGTATTTTTCCATTTAAACAATTACCAGCTTTTAAGTCGTCCCCAGACTTCTGCGCTTAATGGATATTATTTTTGAGTTTTGAAGCAAGAAAAGATTAGATGCGAGTGTGGGGAACGCACGCAGAGAGTCGCGACTCGCTTCAGTCACCCGAAATTAAAACTTATCACCGCCTGAGTCAAAAGCCAAAGCCGAGCCATGATCAGTGTTAAAAAATTCAGTAAACAGTGAATGTCAGATACAGAAAAACCTGCGTTAAAAATAATAATGATAATAAATGCACTTTGTTGGAGTGTCAATATATTAAGCAAGAAAGTGCTAATTGGGGACACTTTTTTTACGTCTCCAAACGTCTCCTTCTGGAGACGGGACCGCCATTTTACGTGGTCATCTGAGCCTCGCGAAAGTCTAGCTGTTTGCTGTGCGAAGGAAGTACCCTTCATTGCTCAGTTATTTTAAGACCCTGAGTAATGGTCCGGCCCCGGGAATCGAAATCGCGACCTCCCGCTCTGCAGTCAAGCGCTCTACAGACTGAGCTAATCCTTCCCCGGTTAAGCCGACACGAACTCCCCAAGGGAACTTTTCTTTTCATATTTTTAGTAAAAAACTGTCACATAAAAGGATTTTGACCCAAACTCAAGCGTATGAACTACACATGCAAAAAATGTTTAGAGTTGCTAACTTTGTGAACAAGCCCTCTGGAGCGAGTAGGTATATGAAGAAAACGAGTGCTCGTGTTCTTTTCCCTCCCCACCCCTGTCCCGAGAGTATGCTACAAGCTATAGAGTTGCGAAAACGGAAGTGCGGCTGCAGTAAAAGCAGTGCAGTAAATTATTGCGATATTTATTTAACTGTATGAACCACACTAGCCTGTTCCATGCTCCGAGATAGTGGTGAAAAGTCGTTCAGTAAAAAGAACTGCGAAAAACGCGCCCCTTTCCCAAGTGGCGTGCGTCTTGTTTTCGCTTGCTCGTTTTAATACGTCCCCACTATACTATCTGAGAGCCTAGCACAGGCTAGAACCACAACGCAGCAACAGTTTTCCTTTGCTTTATTAAGAAACGTTGTCACATCTTTCCATACTTTTCCACTACACAATGCAACAAATCATGTGATATTACACTAGCTAAGCAAGCCTATATGATACATCTATACTTTGAAATTTCAAACCAGTAAATAACACTATATCACTAAAGGGAACTCTAATGTACTCCCCATGATAGCCATAAGATGCTGTTTCCTAGGCAAAGAAAATAGCGCAAAAAACAACAATAACGATAACAACTGAAAAAGCACGTGTTTTGTGGCACTAAACAAGAACACCACTCTTTGGAACTGTAAAGGGCCAGTTGAAGCCCTCTACCACGCCTGAATCTGTGATCTTCACTTGGTTTTTAGGTCGGTCAGATTGATCCGTCTCCAATTCACTGATTTCTTTTACGATTTTCTGCCGAGACAATTTTATATATATTAAATAATTTTCATTAATTTTCCTTTCATGTGATTGTATCAGTTAAACGTCGATGATGATTATTATATATATTTCTTGTTCTGTCCCGGGGGTATTCAAAGTTATACGAAATAATTGAGATTTTTTTGTTGGCCACTAAGATAGCCTGTGAACCTGGCTAAAAGAAGTTTTCTTGCGCTGTTAACGCGAAGAAGGTTGCGTCGAACTCTGGCCAATTGCTGAGCAATGAGCAAGGGAAAAAATGTGGGATTTCAAAAAGAGAATACTCAGGGTACGAAATAACAAATAGTGGTAAATATTTAATGCATAATTCGATGACCATCGTTGAGACTGAAAACGAAAACCTAAGTGAAGTGGCTCTCTGTTTAGATGGGAGAAGACTGAAAATCGCGAGTAGACGGCGTGGGCAGAACTGGGAGAATGGGGTAGAGGATCTGCGTCCCTTTTCCCCTCTTTATATCTCCGCCAATTTTTCCTATTAAGAAGCCTGTTCACAGGCTACTGAGGACTCTTCTAAAATGCTTTTATTTTCCAAGCAATTCTAACGGTGCCTTTAAATGAAGGAATTCTAAATGACACGAAAACAATTGTTTTATCATATAAAACACAAAACCCTATTTGACTAACCATTCCTTCAAGAACTTTGCCAAAACATGTGTGCTTTCCATCCAACCATTTTGTCCTGACTAATGTGATGTAAAACTGCGAACCGTTAGTGTCCTTTCCAGCATTAGCCATACACACCCAACCTGGCCCATAATGCTTCAGGATGAAATTTTCGTCATCAAAGTACTTTCCATAAATACTTTTAGCTGAAAATGTAACAAAGGAGTGAGATAATTACAGTATTAGAACGTACCTGAACAGTCGTTGCTTATAATGATGACAATGATAACACACAGAAGAAGAAATGTAAGATGGTAGCTGACTATTTACTTGCCGAATGGCGTCGTTTTAGATCGTCTCGACTACAAACTGATGAAGGACCAAGAATAGATCTTGACAAATTTCCAACCCAGTTGTAACCCAATTCTGTTACACTTACGAACAAAAAAAAACACTTAGACGTCTTCGTCTAGCTCTGGTACATTTCCCTTAAAACATAGTCAGAAACACCATGGATAATAGAAAGACTGGGTAGGCGAAAACAAAGAAACAATCAGGCAAAATAAAGAGAAAGAAAAGGATCGGTTATTGTTTCCAAAAAAGTCCAAATTTTGTATTAGACGCAAGTAAAAAAATAAAACACTTAAAATGAAGTCAAGTTGAGTGGAAAAAATTTACTTTTTGTCAAATAGTAGAGGCGTAGCTACCTTTACGCCATAACACAAGGAAAAATGTCAAAAAAAAAAGGAATGAAAAACAAAGCAATGAAAGAGGAGACGGTAAATAAGGGATAGCTAAAAAAAAAGGTGCGTTTTCCCATGTAATTCCATTTTCAAAGACTCAAAAGGAAATGTTTTCTCTTTATTTTACAACTGCTACTTGAAGAACGGGCTCCCAAGACTAAGAGATTTGATTATTAATTCACCATATTGATAAAGACTGGAAATTTAATCAAGTCACCAGTGTAAAAACGATTTGAGAGACGGGATAGTTGATTTGGGAGACTGAACTCACCTCTGGCAAATTCTAGCTACGTCCCTGATTAGATGCAGTTCTGAAATGCTTACCAGTCCGAACTGAATAGTGCACGTGGCTAAATAGTGCATTTTCCGACAATATCGAACAAAAGAAGCAAAGCTGATTTTACTGTTAGGAATATACTTTTTTTGTTACCAATATTTCGGAAGGCACGGCCTTCCTTCTTCACGGTCTTACATACAACGATAAGGTTAACCTAAGACGTTACAATTTAACGTCTCAAGCCCCCCCCCCCCCCCCCCCCCCCCCCCCCCCCCCCCCCCCCCTTTCATACCTGTTGTTTTTTTTCTTCCCCAAAAGAATCCCCACGGTGCGGACAAAAAATAGAATAGGCTAACAACCGATGAAAAATCACAAAAAAACAAAAATATAATAACAAAATAGTGTAGAAAAAAATAATAAAATTACACATAAAAACTTATTTTACCGTTTGGGATATACTGTTTTTTTTACCAAATTTTCGGAAGGGACGGCCTTACTTCTTCACCGTTTTACATATCACCATAAGGTTCACCTAAGACGTTACAATTTAACCTCCTAAGCCCCCCCCCCCCCCCCCCCCCCCCCACCTTCCCCACCCCAATTTATCGTGAAAGTTTTGTTGTCCGCCCCACAACAGATACAGCCGGTTGAAGAAACAAAATTAGCAGGTTAAACAACCCCAATAAGTGATGAAATAAGATAATATTAGGTAGATAAGTAGGAGAGAAAAATTCATCTTACATCCAGATCCTTCACCGTTGTCACTGAAATCTCCACCTGCAATGGCAAAAAGCAAACGAAGCAAGAAGAGATTAACTCCTCAATCGACCTAAAAGCGATATTATCACCAAATCCTGCATCAAATCCCTAGGAATTCGTTGCAAGTTAAAGCAAAGTCAAGCCGAGAAACAAGAAAGATTTTTAAAACTTTTTAAAAGGTTATCCCAGAAGGCTTACCTGGGTTACCGTGGCAACCGCGATATTTCAAAACACAACAGGGTCGCAAAAAATTAATCTGGAAAAGATTTTTTGAGGTTAGTCACGTGACTCGTTCATATTTGTTGTTACACATGGTTTCTGAGTCGACATTTCTTGGTTTTTTATCAATTTTGTGAGGTTATCCAAGTAAACCAGGAGAGCTACGTAGCTTGTAAGAAAAGTGCAATTTTACATGGTGAACGTGGTATCACGAACATGAGTAAATCAAGTGTAACAACCTAAGCAAATGGTCTCAATTTATATCAGCAGTATATGTGTGCAAGGGTGTAGGTATCAGATGATTTTTCACCATGAGCTTCTACATTACCGTCTTCCTGGGATACTAGAGCAGGCGGCTGGCACCCCTGTTCCCAAGGAATCCTTAGCTCTTGAAACCATGGGAATAGAATACCGCATTCTTTGGATAATTATTATCATAAAGCCAAAGACTGTATGGAAATAAATGTATAGCGTGATAAGCATTTTTTTTTTGGCTACGGGGCTGTCTGTATTATCGCGTATTATCAGGGCCTTTTCTTGAGAGGTTTTGTAGACGTAGTGCTTTTCACGTTAAGCATAAAAGAGCGTGTTTGATATATTTTTAAAAGGTTTTTTGCTATTTCAAAAACGCAAAGCTTAGAGAGGGTAGAGAGACAAATTCTGAGACTGTTTCACTGCCCAAACTTCTGTCTCTAAACAAGAATATCCCCATAATAAACTAACCGTTAACTTGTAAAATCACACTTTCCTTTCTTCTGGACGATACATCAACTACTCACAAATTATAAAACAAACCTTGTATCATGAAGTCCTTGATCACTCGGTGAAAAATTGCGCCCCTATAGCCAAAGCCGTACTACAAAGTAAAACCAAAACAACAGATTTGACATGAATCTTTTTTATTAGCGTAGGGAGAACTCAGGTAGGTTTTTTGGTGTATGTGGCGAGCAGTCACGTTAAGAATAGGAATATACAGTCGAGTCCCGAGAACTCGAACTCTCGCTAACTCAAACCTCGCGCTAACTCGAGCCAAAATCAATTTTCCCTGGATTTCCTTCATAGAATACTCGGTTACTCGAACTCTCGAAAACTCGAACATCCCGGTAACCCGCGGCCAAAGTAAGTTTTGTTTCCCTACAAATGATTTTTATTTAATTTTACCCTCGATAACTCGAACTATGTTTTAAAGCGTAACAAGTCGAAAAAAACGTCGACAATGAGACACTGAATTTATTGCAAAACTGCCGCGTATTCTTTGCCTGTACTTCTTTGTCAATCTTGTTCAAATGCAGTGTCCAGCCCTGATCATGAATATTTAATACTCAAGTTTTTTGCTGCCCTTGAAGTGAAATGTACATAGCATGATACTTGCATTCCTTCCCCAACCATATGCTTATTTCCTTATTTTAGGTTATTTGCTTCTAACTCCCGATAACTTGAACTCTTTGCGAATTTCCTACTCGGAATGTTCGAGTTATCGGGAGATGACTGTATTTCCAAATGATAATGATTCCCAACGCGCCAAAAAAGAATTTTTGTTATTATGTACCAAACGAAGAGTTTTAGAGAGAAATTTGCGTGTGTGATAGTTTCCAAATGTCTCATTTTCATGTTTGTTGAGCAGTTGATCCTCGAAGTTGATATTCGTGGATGTGTTTTCTCAGCTGTACTATCTAACTCATGCCAAAAAACAACAATGGCGGACTTCCGTTATAAATCGATAAAATCATGAAAAGTCGATAATATCCATTTGACAGAGCAATTTAGTTTATCGATTTTCACCGATTTTCGGTATCAATCGATAAAAATCACTTGATTGCTACCGATTTTTATCGATTGACTACTCCGGGCTTTTAGCGTTTACGAAGTCGTTCGCGTCGCCAGTCGCGTAAATAAACCAACTACGCGACAGGCAAGCGACGCGAACAATTTCGTAAACGCTAAAAGCCATGCAAGAGACAAACCCGGCTCTGCTCGCAGGATATTAGATACAGAGGAGAGGTAGGTCGAAGAATCAAGACTGCTCGTAAATCATCCTCACTTCTCTTTTCCATTCTACAAAAGGCAAAAGTCCGGATATTTCACATACTTTTTGAATGATTTTGAGAAGATTTTAACCTAATCGATCGTTCAGCTCCCTAACCTACGAATGCAGCAGCCTCTCAGCGATCGCAACTCGTGACAAGAACGTCCCAGCGACGAGAAGCAACTTGAGAGGCGATTGTATTCGCCGGCTATCGGTTATTATGAGTTTAAGAAGTAAACGTACCTCGTGGGAAGCAAGGGCCTTGAAGTTTTCTACGGTTCGAGGAACTGTTTTCCCGAACAACCCAATAACAATTCTTCCTTTTTCTTGCTCGCCAATGCTGATGTCAAGATATACCTTGTTTGTGACCAGTGTATCGGAATCAGCGCTAACAACAAACGGCACGAAAAGAGCGTTCATGTAGTAGATGGTGGCAAGAAGGAGAAGAACCATTTTGAAAGCCAGACACTGATCGTCAAGTTAGCAAGCTTTTCGAAAACCAGAGTGATGGTGCAGAAGTGAATGCGTAGGTCTCATATTCGCTGCCACGTACACATATCTGGAATGAATAAACCCTCTGTGTTATCAATTGAGGATTGTTTCATCTGACCAGCCTGCTGTAACGCAACACTCACAGTCTTCAAATGCCCTGCTAAACTTAACATTTTAGAGATCTTCTGTAGAGATCTTCGTGTGCGCGTATGAAAGTAACCTGTGATTTGGCGTTTTTCTTTTCTCTTTTTTTTTTTAAAGGAAAGGGGAAGAAGTCGCTTCTCTGAGTACCAGATGTTTTTCCTTGCGTGCGGAGGGATGCCTCAACACATGGGACACATCTCAGGCTGCAGGAAAAGTCTCTGGTACGCAGGGTAATCAGTGGTATCTAATCGCACGTTTAACTGCAGGAGAGGTATTGAAGGGGTAGGGGCGGGAAAATGAGAAAAGAAATTAAACGGTCTGTGCACGTCTTTGAGCACATCTTATCTGTCTACTGATATCTTTTAGAGCCAACTGAGACTGATTTTCTTTTTCCAGAAAAAGCAAATTACCATTCGCTAAATGGTGCTCACTATGTCATCAGTCGTTTCATTCTTATTTTCGCGTACTCGCCACTTATACGGATTGATCATGATAACTATTAAATTCCTCGGAAAAAAGGGAAAACTATTGGTGGAAAGACTAGAGGAGGTTTTTGTTTTTTTGTTTATTTATTTATTTTTGTTTTTCTTTTGCAAGTTTTCTTGTTGAGAACAAATCAAAAACTAAATAAAAAATATTTCACGCTGTAACTCGGAAAGAAAAAAATTGAATTGCCCGGGCGAACTCCCAAAGATTTGAACTCCTAAACGAGACCAATCTGGGCGTGGCTCAGTAGTAGGGCCCTTACGAAACTACGAAGGCGACGGCAAGGAGAACGTCAACAAAACAATAGGTTTAATGAGCATAACAACAACTCTGCAAGTGCNAGAGCCAACTGAGACTGATTTTCTTTTTCCAGAAAAAGCAAATTACCATTCGCTAAATGGTGCTCACTATGTCATCAGTCGTTTCATTCTTATTTTCGCGTACTCGCCACTTATACGGATTGATCATGATAACTATTAAATTCCTCGGAAAAAAGGGAAAACTATTGGTGGAAAGACTAGAGGAGGTTTTTGTTTTTTTGTTTATTTATTTATTTTTGTTTTTCTTTTGCAAGTTTTCTTGTTGAGAACAAATCAAAAACTAAATAAAAAATATTTCACGCTGTAACTCGGAAAGAAAAAAATTGAATTGCCCGGGCGAACTCCCAAAGATTTGAACTCCTAAACGAGACCAATCTGGGCGTGGCTCAGTAGTAGGGCCCTTACGAAACTACGAAGGCGACGGCAAGGAGAACGTCAACAAAACAATAGGTTTAATGAGCATAACAACAACTCTGCAAGTGCATCACGCTTGTTTTGTACATTTCTTTGCTGTTCCTGCACAACAACGACGTGAAATGACCACATTTTGAGGGAGCTGTGTCACGAAATTCAGCCAAATTACTAGCCTGATATTCATCCGATTGCTTCGAGTCGTTTTCTCCTCTCAACAACGTCGTTACTGAGGGAGTAATAACGACTCGAAGTAATTGGATGAAATTCAGGCTACCAAATTAGGCAATTACAAGATGGCCGTTAAATTAAGAGAAACGTAAAAATAACCGCTTAAAGCATTAAAGGGAGGTTAAAATAACACAACAGATACAACAGATGACACGGATGGGCAAAACTGAAGAAGATTGAAACGGATTGAAAACAGTTGTTGACCTCTGCTGTTTGCAACTTCAAAAATAAGGCTCAGGAGACATATTTGTTTGTCTCGAATCTCTGATTTTGTCATTTCCCAGTGTAATTTCTATGCTTCCTTTAAGTTCCATGGCGATTGAGGGCGAGTAATTGGCAAAATTAAACAAAATGAACTGGACTGCCGTGACACAGGCCCTTTAAGTTTACTTGAGTACGAGAACGGCAAGGCAATAAATTCTACCATCTCTTTCTAAACTCGGGCGCGGTCCCCTCTCTTCAGCTCCAACCAAAATTCCCTTCTTTTAAGTAACAGGGCGAATTGGGATAGTCGCGAAAACGTTTAAAAGGATGTGAAGTCTATTTTTCAGCGATGTTTTCATGGACGTCGCTGTTGTCGGATCGTAAGGTCCCTAGTATTAGAGAGCTTAAGCAGAGACGTTTTTTAACGACCCACGTCAACCGGAAGTGAGTCCTTCTCCGTTTTTATATACCTTGACGCTAACAAATTTGTATTGCTAAGTTTCTTTTCTCTTATAAAGACGGTTTACTCGAGAGTGTCGACCGAACCAGGGGGGGAGGGAGAAAAGCGAAAAAAGAGGGTAAAATCCCCCTCTTTTCTCCCTTCCTCCCTATCCCCTACCCCTTCTTTCGACGCCTGCTAGGCAGGCTAACTGTCGCTCAAAAACGCTGTTGCTTAAGCTCTCTAATTGACCTCTAAAGGAGACTGTACTTACCATGACAACCAAATAAGAGTCATAGTGATTTAAAATTGTGTAGGTTAAATTTGGATTCTTCAATCTTTTGGGGGACTGCTTGAAGACCAAACTCCCAGTACGCGCGTTTTCCATTCTTTCACCTTCAAACTTCTAACGTAAATTTCTGGTTAAAACCCCTGGGCTTGTACAACTTCGTAACCGGGGTTTTAGGGGGGGCTTATAAATACTGAAGGGGACTTATATCCGGGGTGGTGTTATAAGCGGACTAAAAAAGCGTTTCAAAACAAGCTACAAAGCAGTGCTGATCAAAATACTTTTTGAATTGACTCATTTTTTTAAGCTGCATCAAAACATCGTAAAAATTCGAATTCATTTCAATACAAGCTTGAGGGAGGCTTTTGTCCAGGGATTTGTAACGGGATGTATTTTTTGTTTGCAGGTAGATAGACTGCGAGCAGTCTCTTATTTTTCTTTGCAAAGTTACTGCACACGAAACCTAAGCAAGCCGCGAGCCGCGAGAAACGAGGGCGTAAGCCCGAGAAAAAATCTCGTCTCTGTGGGAATAACGTCGTGGTTTGCAATCGCGCTGGATGAGATAATAACTTGACGGATTTTAAGAGAAAAGGCGGACTGCAAGCAGTCTAGCAGGTAGATGGGCCTATAACTGGGGGCGACTTATCAGTGGGGGGAGGGGGCTTATAAGGGGTAGTTTACGGTATATTACGTGTATTTCCTCTTTTGTGGAGGGCTCCAGAAAGAAAAGCTTCAGGCATTATTAAGAAAGAATTACAGCGTTTTGAAAAAGAGTTTTCAGACGCGTTTGTAGGAAAGAGGTGAAGGAAAGAACGTTGGACTACACCAAAAGACTAACGATACTATTACCTTAACTGTTTTATTCCAGTTTTCTGAAAAAAATTTCATACTATGTAGAAATCTGTTATATCCAGGTTAAGATGGATTTTAAAATACACTAGCATATGAAGTAAACAAATCAAGTCATGAATGTTATTCTTGGACGGGTTCTTTTTCCACTTCGAAAGGTTTATCAACTGGAAGAGATCCACAGTCCTCTATTGTGACATCTTTGGTTGGTTTATCACGACCGTCAGTTTTCGTTTTTTCTATCTTTCTGACAACATCCTAAACATAACCAAAAGATAAAAATGTGTGAACATTGCCCAGACATTGCCAGTAGAGCATAGAGATTATAACTGGGAAGTTTTGGTTTACTGTCTTTTAAAACCCTAAACTAAAGGTTACATTCCATAGCTCAAGTGTACGCGTCACTGCTCCATCGATAAATATTAAGCCACGAAGAATCCCCTTGGTCTAAAGGTGACGTTACATGGGACGATTCGCAATGACGATTTTTAGCACAACATTGTTGCGACATTGTTTCAAAAGGTTACAACATTGTTCCAGCACTGCAACGCTGTGTTGCGCTAAAAATCGTCGTTGCGAATCGCCCCGTGTAACATCACCTTAAAAGACAATTTTGTAAAAGTATTATAGGGTTAAGTGGAAGCTTTTGGCGCTATTTATTTATCTGTAGCATAGTGACCTGTAATCAGTGACCTGTGGAAAGTGACCAGTATTTCAGACCCCCCCCCCCCCCCCCCCCCCCCCCCCCACAAAAAAATCATATTATTTTTTTTCTTCTAAAAAAAAAAAAAAAAAAAAAAAAAAAAGAAAACAATTCTATTTAAAAAAATAAATATTACATTAAATACACTCTATACATAATAATATATGATTTAAACATACTTGTCAGAGCGCAAAAACACTCTCTGGCAGAAAAGATCCGTGTGGAAACTCCCCTAATAAAAAAAACTTTAAAAAGACAATTTTAGAAAGATTTGAAGGTTCTATAGGAGTTTTTTTATCCATTTATTTTTGTGCACCACAATGACCCTTCAAGAGTCAGCATCGGAAAATGCAAAAATTTTTCGCACCCCCCCCCCCCCCAACCCCTAGAAAAATATTGTTGCTGTATATATCCTTCAATAATATAAAGAAAAGCTAAAAATTAAAGTTTGGCAATTTCTACTAACAAATATTTGCATTGCCATGAATCCTCAGTACGTTATAAAATATGTTATAATATGTATCAATAGTAGTTTAGTACATGTAGTGGTAGTGTCGTGGTGGTGGTAGTAGCGGGAGCTCTCGCGCTCGCGAAGCGCATAGCGGAGCACTATGAATAACAAAATTTGGTAATCTGTACATCGAAGAAATTTGTTTCTGACAAAGGGCCTGTTTACAAGGAGAGAGGGTTACCCTTGTGCTAGGGTTACCTTAGCAAGTTAGCTCTGGTTTACAAGCAAAATTCACAGGTAGGGTTACTCCATCACCCAGGTAAACTTTACCAGCTTTGCTGACGTGTTTCGTCATGCGTGACATTTTTTGTAACGGTCCAAGATTTGAAAAAAACTTGAAGTTCTCTACAGAAAACACACAAAAATGGGAAAATATTATCATCGTAGACAGAAAATAACTTTTTTTATTTTTCAGATGTTTAAAATTAAGCTCAAAAATTGGATAATACCGTTCAAATTGGCACGATTACTGGTCACGCATGACGGCAGAAAGTTGACCCAAGTAGGCGTGTTATCCCTAGCTGAGCGTTTGCAGGGCAGGTACGGTAACCCCCTTGCTAGGGTAACCCTAGCACTCAGGTAGGGTTATCCAGCGCTAGGGTAACCCTACCTGCCTTGTAAACACGTCGTGTCAAAAAAAAGGAGAAATATGCGAGTGTTAGGGTAACCCTCTTGCTAGAGTAACCCATTCCTCGGTTCCCTCATAAAACAGTGCATCCTTTTCAAAATTTTCTTGCAGTTCTCACTCCCCCTGCCTAGCAAAGTTGAAACTCAAAAAAAAATTCTGGATACATGAGGCCAACATTGTTTTGGGGGTGAGGGCAGGGGTTGGACCTGCGTGAATTGGAAAACGCCCCAGAAATGCAGAAGTGTCCCAAGACTTTTGTCCAGGATTGTAGAATGCTTGCAGGCACTCTACCCTGTGCCATTCTATGGTCTATGCTTGTTATTCAAACACAGCAATACATACCATTCCTTTTAGTACTTTCCCAAATACAACATGTCTACCATCAAGCCAAGATGTTTGAGCAGTGGTGATAAAGAACTGTGAACCATTTGTATCTTTTCCAGCATTAGCCATACTCAGCCAGCCAGCACCATAGTGGGAAAGTTTAAAGTTCTCATCGTTAAACCTATCACCATAGATGCTCTTACCTTTAAAAAGCAGAATTAAATAATTATGCAATAATATATTTTTTTTAACAAAGACCCCTCAAGGAGGTGATAGCTCAAGCCTTACACTAGTAAACCCAAGAAATATTCTACTCTAAGCCCTTAATGGTCAAGGAGAACACTGCATGGAGTCCAAAGGATATGGTACGTAACCTGGTGGAAGGTCATGAAATAAATAAAATACTTTATAAGGCTCTTGAAAGTAACACATTGAAGTGTTAACTTCGTGTAGATATAATAAAGGAAGATGGTAATGTGTTTCTTTATTCTGCAAAAGAGCCAATAATTAATCTTGGTATGTGTACTAAATCGTTAGCACGTAGCTGACTCCAAAGGAGCAAAAACAATGTCTTAGAACCTCATAACAGCATATGCTCTCACAAAGAAACAGAAGCTAGACAAATTTTGAAAATCAGAGGGGCTGTTGACAAAACTTTCCTTTGACTGGATTTAGGAATTGGATTGGACTGTACTAAAAACGTAGATCCCATTGGATTCCATTAGTCTAAGAATAGCTGGATTGCATTGGATTAATCTACTTAATAAGGTGACTCGACCCAGTTATTTTGTGAGGGTACCATCCTACTTTGAAGCTCTCTGGTATACCCACCTTTACTTTGATCATAAGTCTAACATATAGCATTGGATAACATATAGATCAATCTACAATACAGCATAAAATTTTTGGCGATCGGAGTAAATGTCACATGGTTATAGTGCCACGTCTCTTTGAGGTCTGAGTCGAAATTCTGCTGTTCCCAGCATTTTTTCGTGAAAATTTCTTGGCTACATATAGTGCTTATTAGTGCCTTGCGTTGACCAGAGTTCCACCAAAATCACAAAGACCCAATGCGAGAAATTCAGCAGTTTCCAAATTTAGGTCATATAATTTATGCATAAATGATAAGCAAACTTTACATGATTATATCTAATAAACTATGAGATTTATCCCTTTATTTTAGGGATCTTTATAACCAGATGGGTCCTTGCAAGTCAGCAAAAAGCTTCAGGGCCTCGTAAAATGCACACGATTTCGAGCAATGCAAACATATACAAATTATAGTTTTAGCTATTTGTTGACGTTTGTCAGCGTTTAAGAGTCCGTCTCACAAAAAAAGCATTATCTTAAAAATTCGTAGCTTTTTTTCCTTCAAATTTTTTCAAGGCCACAATTGATTAACTAACTACCCGGATTCTGAATTTCATAATCATTAAAAAACTGTGACATTATCTTCTATGAGCCCAAACTTGAGTAAACATTGAAGATTTTTAGCGTTTTGGCTGAGTTTGTGCTTTGGGAGTTTTCTATTGTTTCTAGTCTGTCTCATGATACAGCATTCTTGTTCAGCACACATGCAAAGGCCGCGCTTGGCCCTGCAGCCAAAGGATGATGATGATGATGAAAGAAGACCAAGCTAGGTTATATTTTTAGGCGCAACGTGTAATTTAAATCCAAGATGTGAAAAATTCTGTTTTATTTACTTATAAACATTGCCCCTTTTCTTTGACAATGTTTTTCAATGTTATCATTATTATTGAACTATTATTATTGAAAACAGGTACAGTGAAACCTGTATTAAGCGGACACCCTCGGAGAATGCTGTAGTGTCTGTTTAATACAGGGTGTCCACCTAATACAGGTTTCGATAGATAACGTCATATGAGGTGTCAAATGCCATTCAAACGAACAATGGAAATGTTTAAAATACTCCCAGAGACTGTGACNGTCATATAATTTATGCATAAATGATAAGCAAACTTTACATGATTATATCTAATAAACTATGAGATTTATCCCTTTATTTTAGGGATCTTTATAACCAGATGGGTCCTTGCAAGTCAGCAAAAAGCTTCAGGGCCTCGTAAAATGCACACGATTTCGAGCAATGCAAACATATACAAATTATAGTTTTAGCTATTTGTTGACGTTTGTCAGCGTTTAAGAGTCCGTCTCACAAAAAAAGCATTATCTTAAAAATTCGTAGCTTTTTTTCCTTCAAATTTTTTCAAGGCCACAATTGATTAACTAACTACCCGGATTCTGAATTTCATAATCATTAAAAAACTGTGACATTATCTTCTATGAGCCCAAACTTGAGTAAACATTGAAGATTTTTAGCGTTTTGGCTGAGTTTGTGCTTTGGGAGTTTTCTATTGTTTCTAGTCTGTCTCATGATACAGCATTCTTGTTCAGCACACATGCAAAGGCCGCGCTTGGCCCTGCAGCCAAAGGATGATGATGATGATGAAAGAAGACCAAGCTAGGTTATATTTTTAGGCGCAACGTGTAATTTAAATCCAAGATGTGAAAAATTCTGTTTTATTTACTTATAAACATTGCCCCTTTTCTTTGACAATGTTTTTCAATGTTATCATTATTATTGAACTATTATTATTGAAAACAGGTACAGTGAAACCTGTATTAAGCGGACACCCTCGGAGAATGCTGTAGTGTCTGTTTAATACAGGGTGTCCACCTAATACAGGTTTCGATAGATAACGTCATATGAGGTGTCAAATGCCATTCAAACGAACAATGGAAATGTTTAAAATACTCCCAGAGACTGTGACGATGTACGTTTTGCATTAATTTCTTTATCAAAGTGGACCAATTGATCATAGTACCATAAACAAAGAGTGCAACTCAAATTTGAAGAAATCAGACGAGTGAAACAAGCTCTATACAAACAAAACGAAATAGAAAACAATACTGTATTGTGAAAGTAATCAAATAAGCTCGCCAAGTCATGTTTTTTACTGTGAAATCGAAAAATTTGTGGGTGGCAATTCGAGGCAATCTTTCCCATTTCCGGTGTCTAGCGTGTTGGGTGGTGGAATTAAATTACAAGTGTCCGTTTAATACAGGTTAGCAACAATAGAAATGACCATTTCAGGTACTTTTTAGGTGCCCGCGTCCGCTTAATAGGGGGTTTCATTTAAAGTAAATAAGGGAAATAAATTATTTTGGGGACTTCGGCTAGTGTCCGCTTAATAGAGGGTGTCCGCTTAATACAGTGTCCGCCTAATGCAGGTTTCACTGTATTAATTCACAGCAGCTTTCAAAAATACTATGAGCTTAAGGCTTCATAACTTGTTCACGTGGCAGCTCCACACCAAGAAAGTATCCCTGCAGGCATAATAATCCTGCCAGCTATGCTGGATATTACAAACTATCTTGGATCTAACTCAAACATAAGCAAAACAAAACACAGAAATTATGATTTAAAATGTAACTCTATGGTCTACTTTGAACTTTTCATTCAGATGAAAACAGTGATCAGGAAAATGCTAGTTTCATGTTGCAGCATTCTCTTTATAAGTGCCAATTAGATCAATCTGATCCAATCCAGATGTTTTCAGTTTGATCCGATCTGAGCCATTGTTTTGACAATCTGATCTGCAGGCCAATTCAGGTTTTGTTACCTGCCTATACACAAGCTGACTGAATTCCATATCTCACGATTAAAAGGCCAAAGTAATTCGATAAGTGACCATGACAACCACTGCATGAGCACTGCCTGCATGCAGAACCTTAAGTCTGTGTACAGAAATGATTCAAGGTGCGAGTGTGGAATAACTGACTTTTGATGCAGAATTTAAATCTCCTTTTCTCAGGCAAATACAAGGTAATTTGGAAGGAGATAACCTGGCACTATATCAGAAGTTGTCATCAGGGTTTTTTTCCATATACCCATGCCTGCTGATATTTACTGTAAGCAGATCATGCCCTTTTGATGACACCCTTGAATGTAAGCAGGATATAAATGCCCGCTTAAAAAAACCTTTAGGTTCTAAATTTCCAGTTAACAGAGTGTAAAAAATTCCATACCGCCAGTGCCATCTCCATTAGTGAAGTCACCACCTATGAAAGAAAACAAATATTTATCATTCAGACATCATACATACTCTACTTGACAAACAGGTAAAGTTATTAAACTCAAGTTGCTGTGAGTGAATAAAATTACCTTGGATCATAAAATCACTAATGACTCGGTGAAACTTGCTTCCCTTGTATCCAAAGCCTTTCTGTTTAAAGGTGATAAAAAGAATCAATAATTTTCACAGTGAAAGTTGAAGTGCTGCTTCAATTCCTGCTTAAAAAACAATACATCTGGTACAATTAATACAAAAAAACTGTGGTGTATCAAAACTTTACCCCCCCCCCCCAAAAAAAGTAATTACATATGAAAATTGTACGCCCCCCCCTCCCCCCTTGGCAATAACAATTTTTAAAATGCACCCTAAAGTTAGCTCGCCAAGGGCGCCCCAAACCTGGGGGAGTCTGCAGGGGGCAACCCCCAGTAGTTGGCTTGGTCAAAAGTCTCAACCAAGGTCTGTGGCTTCCGATTCGGATCCACCCTCAAGTACCCTCCTCGCGTTGATTGGCGCTAGCGCTTTCACTTTTAACAAACACCCCCATAAACCGTACATTTTCTGAAAGCTTAATAGTTCCAGATTATTGCTTATTTCTTTTAAAAAATCAAAATATTAACGCGATTTAGAAATTAGAAGCTTTTTGTGAAAGTGGATGTCATTGTAAATTTAAGTCCAGTCCAGCCAAAAATTAACGGAAGAAGCCAATTAAGAACGCATTCGCTTCTTAACACGTTTGACTAAAAAACGGTGTCTCAGATTTTTGTCAAGTGCGTTTGTTCTGTTGTTATAAGCAGGTGAAGTTAGGGATAGCAAATCATTAGCACTACCTGTGAAAAAAATACTCTAACTCGAAAACAAAAAAAGAAATCAAAATTCGCAGACACGGTTTTTTAGAAAAACTATCTGACAGTAAGTGGGCCAAATTTCAGCCAAATTGGTTCAGGGGTTGCCGACTTGGAGTTTAAAACGTACCCTCAACTTGCCCTGATTTTCATTTCGAGAAAATGGTGGAAAAAGATTTTTGGCGGTGTGTTACCCGTGATGAGATTATGACAGATTATAACACCAAAGCTGTCAATGTTGATGCATACCAGCAAAGGGACAACAATAGTGACACAGCAGGAAAAGTTGAAAACGAAACCCGACAACAGATGAACAATTCATTTCAAAGGCTCTGCTCTGTTCGATCCTTTCTGTTGTCGAGAAAGCTTCATTAAAATTTGCAGGGGCAGTTTTCATTTTCGCAACGGACAACCCAAGTCGAGCTAAGCCCACTTTTACTCGATACATTTTTTAAAAGTTCGACACTTCCCTGGAAAAATCGACAACAAACCGCTTCCTAGAGTTTTTCTTGCAGCTTCTTTCCCACTAAATAGACTTTCAAAACAGTACTTCGTCCGATTTTTATATGGCGCGGGACCTCTCGTGACTTCACCTCTCGCTTGGCTGCTTTGTGGGCTAAAAAGCTCACCCCGCTCGCTAACGAACTCGTGAAACTCGATTCCGCGGTAGTTTCAATGGGTTTTTCAGGAGCTTTCTTGATTGTAGTGGGAGCTGTTTTCGCTCTCTGCTAATTTCAAAGCCCACTCTTTGGTGGCAAAACGATTTTGTCGTCTTCTTTTGTCTTGGAGTCGAGGACGAAAACGGGCAAGCTATTTTTTCTTCTTTGGAGGCATTCACTTTCAAACTCCAGGGAAAAACAGTGAGCACTATACTTGTAAACCACGATTTCTGTCAAATTGCGTGATTAGCTTGGTTCAACAGCGGCACGCGTATCAAGTATGACAGGACTTGTCAACAATCAATTAAAATAATTAGCATAGAAAAAACTTTTCCACTCCATAAGTTTGCACAGAAAAAACATTTTTTCCTGGAATTTTTTTTAAAAGAAAGCTCTTGATGAGCTCTATTTAATCGTCTAAAAATTGCAAATTTAGAAAAATGATGATTTTTTACCCTGGATGATACCTTAATCAGTAAAAGGATAAAGGAAATCCTAACGCAAAAACACCAATATAATGCGAAATATTTATCCCAATTTAAAGATAACAATGCTTAACGAAATAAAAAAATATCTATATTTTTTCCAGGTTTCAGCTGTATGCATAGGCATATGTGCGTACATGCATGCTACATTCCTGGTAGTAGAAATTGCTTATAGGTTACTGGGCCAAGTTTTATACAGGTAACATTTTGCTGTTGACAAAGAAACGCTGAAGCAATTTTTTTTGTCTACTTTTGAAGGAAACGTAGATTTGCTTCAATCAACAACAATCGACAACTTTTACATAGAAGGCCAGCCCTGTGTCTTAATATTTCGACCCCCCTCACATTTTGTGCATTTTCAAAATTGACCCCCCAAAATTGGGCCTATTAGAAAATTGTACCCCCCACCCCAAAACCCCAGTCCACCCCCGCTTGGATATAATAAATGAACGGTCTCTTAATATGATCAAGCCACATTAACTGAGCTATTGACAGTATAAAAACAATGTAAACGGTTAACACATTTCATATTGGCAATGAATGAATAAAAGAACATGCTTTACAAAGCTGATACGCCTCGTCTGCGAAATAGGACGCAAAACATACACTGTATGTTTTCTTTTTTCCATTTTTGCTGTTATTTTAAAGCCAATGGTCAAAATCACATCCATTTTCGGCTCATACAGGTTCTTAAGAATAGCATTGCATGACATTTTCTCACTTTCTGATCACTTTCCAGCAAGCTGGAATTTGGATATTCCCCGTGATCTTCAGTCAGAAGAGCAAATGTTCATTTTCTTGTCAAGTTTAATGCCTGGACGAGTCAAAGGCTCTTGAAATCCAATCCCCAAGTTAACCATCGTACTCATTTGAAAGACTCCTTCATGTCTTAAATTTGGTAAGACCTCTAACCATGCTGTAGAAAATTTGCTACAAAGAAAACTCTGAGTCTAAACAGCGAACGCTGAATGATGCATGCTCTCAGCGAAGAATTTGATCCCACTGAACTTCGGAGAGCGCGTGCTTCTTCAGAAATGATAGATCTTCGCACTCTCGAGTCAGACCTGATTAATTACGAAGTCCGTCTACTACGAGTGAGCAAGTGACTCATTTGCATATCTCTGTCCCTGCAATAACCCGTGGTACGTTCGCACATCCCCACGAGTTAAAAACAGACATTGACATAAAAGGAGCAAAGAATTGTGACAGTGACAGTTCACTTTTTAAGTAGTGAAAGCAACATCTGTTAACTTTTTCATTTTGGCTGTTTTAGTTGACAGCGGAATAACAAATTCTCTTCTATTATTCCTGAGCATTTTCCTTGGAACGTTTTCTAATAATGTTTGTATTGTTCAAGAATGGTCTCTAAGAGGGAGAAACATTGATAACAATTGATTCTTTCCAAGAATTATATCTGCTGTAAATTCCAAATTGAGTAACACAAAAATTTATGCTGATCCGACAGGGACATTTTCATCCTACATGTAGCTAAGATACGACAACGACATTTTTTCCTAACCTACCAGAAGACAGTAAGTCTCAGAAATCACCAACAAAGTGACAGCATTTCCCCCTTAAAAGACCTCACAATTTTATTTATGTACGTCAATTTTACCTTGATAATATACCAATCCTTAATCATTTAAAATTTCTGGGATAAAACATTTCCAAAAAAGAAAGACACTTTTTGTTCATTTGTCTGCATTGTCATTAAATATGCAACAAAAAATAGGTCACCTCTGCATTGATAGCTCAATGCCAAAACATGGGGCTTTCAAGGGTAACATGTGTCATTCCATATTCATTCTCTTCTCCAGAGACTCAATAGGCCATTAATCTAGGTTGCCCCAAGCCTCTGTTTCATACCGAGGCTAGCTACACTGTAAGTAGGATTAAACCATTGAAATGAAAAAGATTTTCTTCTCTCATGCTTAACTCATTTTCACAAGAAAGGTTTTGCACTTAACCTTGTTTTGAAAGTGAGAGTTTTTGGAACTCAGAAAAGGTCTATTCTTCTGCCCAAATCCAGAGATAAATAGTTCCATCATGCTGGCCAATAGGATTGTGGCTATGCGCGGTACATACATAGAGACACAAGAATGGCCACTGTCATGTAAGTGCCTTTAAAGCTGATGGCAACAACACAAAAAGACTACAACTGTACAATGATCAATTTGAAAAAGATGAAGATAAATTGTTGCCTATTCAGGTGGTTAGGGGTGTGAAGTGTGGTGCAGGAGGTAATGCATGATGTTGGAGCTTTTAAGGTGGTGGGGGGGGAGGAGTAAGATTCTTGATTATATCTGATTTTATAGAAAAATCAGCACGTTATCATTTACGCTATTAAAGGGTCAACATAACAAATAATGTGTCAAATGATAAATTTATATTATTTACGCCTTATAGACTTTTGTAAAAAAAATATTCCTCATAATGGAGTACATAACTTATCTAATAAATTAATGGGAGAAATTTGGTACAAGTGCAAGAACAATTAGTACACGTGGAATTGAATAAAGCAAGGCCAACAAAGGCCTGGTTTATAACAGCTGATTACCATGGATTGTTTCTGCTCGTCTAAATTATTTGACTTTAAACTTTAAACCAGTTGTTTAAACGTGGCATAAAAGCGAGTGTACACAGCACTGTATACCTCAGATTAAAGGTAACATGAGGAATGACTACTTACATGATTACCACGCTACATTATAAATTATCCTGCTGATATTGCAAGCTCACTCACCTCGTGAGTTGAAAGTTGGTAAAAATTGTCAGCAGTCTTTGGCACTTCCTTTCCAAATAATCCGATCTCAATTCTGCCAGCTTTCTCGCCACCGATTGTAATATCAAAAAATACCTTCTTAGTAACTAAAGGTTTGTCACCGGCTTTAGCGCCGAAGCAAGCACAGGCCATAACAGCTAGGTACAACCACGAGGACATCTTGAATTTTCTTGAATAAGGCACCAGGGGTTAGAAGTTTTTGATGTTACAAGCGAGCACGCGTGGACCAATCATCTGTTGCGGGGCATTTGGGAACCAATAGTTTTTCGACAACTCAAATCACCTCACGATTGCGTTACAAGAGAACTTCAGTTGTCAATTTTTACTGCACTTTTATTGTCAGTATACGTTATAGAGTAATACCTCCGAGGATTTAGATTTCTCCAATCCATTTCAGAGATTTTTCCTCCTGAAAAATGTTTGCTTTTGTGAAGAGAAGGGTTGCGTGACAGTTCTTGCACAAAAACACTTCCGATTGTCTGGGGCGCGCAAAGCATCATTCTGGCGACTTCGTAGTCAAAGGAAGGTTTTGAAGATTTTAATGCCTTATCGCACTTTCAGGGTAGTGAAAATTATAATGGTAGTTAGTTTTGCTATTTGCACTTTAGTTTTCCTACTTCTTCCTGGTGATTCTCAAGGAGGAAAAACTAAAAAGGGACCTTTGGTTACTGAAAAGGTGGGTTCGCAAAGCCGCTTCTCTCTCGCGCGCAAAAATATTAGCTAATATTTGGTTGGTTTCACGGTTTTAAGTGCGTCTGCCTTTTGCACAAGGATATCATTCATTCTGTAGGTTATGTACCTAGAGTGTTAGCTTTAGTTACAAATTGAGGTTACCCTGCAGAGGTAGCAGTGGGTTTCGTGGGAAGACTTGGTACACTGAGTAAACATAGTTTCCTGGCGTTTTTGTGAGCAAGCTTAGCATATCGTGAGATGACTCTCGCGCGAGCGACAGGTTGCATATTGGAATGAACCTGCTTGCTATGAATATAACTAAATTTATTATACATTGTATTGGCTAAGAGCCTACAGCTAATTTTGGAAATCAGCGCAACCAACGTTGCGCGCACAATTTATGCATGATTTCCACTAACAATGATAGTCTTTACACTAGAGCCTAGATAAGCTAAGAAATATTTCAAGACAAGTAAATTTTTAATTCTTCAAGTAAAAGAAAGCTTCACGCCCAACCTATATTTTTTACCTCAGGTTTAGTTAAGCCCGTTTTCCCACTGAACATAATTAAGATTGATTGACATGCTTCGCCGTTCTCAAAGCTTAAGAACCCACAAGTCCGGGGGGGGGGGGGGGCCCTGGGGTATTTTTTGGTGGGGTACTGCCGCCCCGGGCACCATATTTTGTCCCTTTTTTAACAAAACCATTACCCTTCAATTAACACCCCCCTTGCAAAAATAGCAACATTTTTCTAATATTTATAAATAAAAAAAAGCTTCCCCCCCCACCTATTTTTTTTCACTCAAGTTTATGTAAGCCCTTTTCCCACACAAAAATAAATAAGGTTGTTTTCCCTGCCTCCGCGGTCTCAAAGCTTAAGAACCCACAAGGCGGGGGGGGGGGGGGGCACTTGGGTATTTTTTGGGTGGGTATGTGCCGCCCGGGACCCCAAATTGGCACCCTGTTCTAAAAAAAACTTTCCTCTAAAATTGATACCCCGTTCTAGAAATGGGCCAATTTTTTATACCCCGTTCTAGAATTCGCCCTAAAACTGATACCCCGTTCTAGAAATGGGCCAATTTTTTATACTCCGTTCTAGGGTGCAACGAGAGTACAACGGTTTGCTTGTTAATGCGCTGAACCATATTTTAAAAGCAATCTGTCCTTGAATAATTTCAAATGGCTGCTTACAAAAGTGGAGCTTTCATGCGTTCGAAATATTATACCCTGTTCTAGACAACGCCTCTGAAATGGATACCCTGTTCTAAATTAGGAACTTCAAAATCACGACCCCTTTGGGCGGCACATACCCGTATAGGTAATGTATGGGAGTACCCTCCCCCCCCTCCCCCCAACCACAAGTTCACTGAGTCTGTTTTAAGGATGGTTTTCAAGTCACTTGAAACTTTCTTGAATCGTTTCAACTTTCCGACTTTAATAAGATGCAAAGTATAGTTACTTGGGATTTTACTTATTTAGGCCTTCACACAGGCATTTTTGATTAAGTATAACTGAGTCTTACTTAACCCATTCGCTCCTGGAGATTTTGCCGAAAAACGTGTTTTGAAGCTAGTCAAGTAGTTTTCTGGTCACTGCCATGCTATAAAGAGCTAAAACTTACCACAAACCCATTTATAGGTCATACACTTCACGGCCTTCTGATCCATATTCAAAATATAAGCTTACGAAGTTTGGGCATGCGCAGAAAGCAAAATTTCGAGATAGGTTTTGGGTTTAAAAGTGACACAGCAGTCTTGACTTTTACTTAATTTCGCTTTCTCTCCTCCCCTCTTCTTTCACTTTTCTTGCCTTATTTTTTTTTCTCTTGCTGGGCATTTAGTAGGCTTCATTTTAGTGGGAAACGTTTTTAAGAAAGCTTTTAGGATCTTAGGATTAGGTGAAAGGAAAGGTAGGTGGGCCGTGGAACAAGGTTTTCTTGGAAATTTTCAGGTCAATGTTACATGGTTTTTAGCCTTTTTCTGTGGTGTCCTTGACTGAATTGTGCTCATTCTGGTATGCATTGAAAGATCTCTTCACTCTGCACAAGTTAGTGGACAAAGTTGTCCTTGACCGTTAAAACTGATGACATGACAAACAGTAGAAAGGACATGGATCTGCACGGGTGGCTCAGGGGCGAATGGGTTAACAGCCTAGTGTAAAGACAACCAATATCAATTCAGGTTCCTTGCGATGGTGTGTTTGTCATTATTTTCTTCAAAACAATGTATGATAAAACAATTATTTGATTCAGTTTTTTTGATATCCTAAATAATCGATGTCTCGGTAAGATCAGCCTCAGCCTTCAGTTCGGCTGATGATACTAACTTCAACCTTGCTTATTCGGGATATCACAAAAACCTCATCCAATAATTGTTTATTATTTGTGTAGCGTTGTATTCCACTTTGGGGGGCTAAGTAATACCACAATTAGTTTTGTAAAGTGAATCAACATGTTTACGTTTACAGGTTTTCTTTGACGTCACCCATGGAGATGTAAAGATAGGTCGTGTTGTCATCGGTCTGTTTGGAAAAACTGTACCAAAAACTGTTAAAAATTTTGCTACATTGGCAACTGGTGAGGTAGGGTGATCAGGCATTTATACGATACTTAGCATGTTCATGCTGATAATATGAAATTAAAGAAGATTAAAATCATTTATTTAACAGAGCTCAAAATTGCGACTGATACAGGCGCATTTGCAACTGCCGATCAGTCACAAATTTGTGACTAGGTTGGGGCCAGTCAATTTGTCACTAGCATTTTCAAGACGACTATTTTAAGCCTAAGTTAATAAAGGTACACCATATTGAAGAATATTGTGTCCTGTTGGAACTTAAATGGATGTAATGGATGTAATTTTCCCCAAATCGCGGCCCTTGATTTTCGTGTAATCATGCAGGTGTATTAAAAAGTAAATACTGTGAGTAGGATGAGGAAATATTATTGTGGTGTATTGAGGCATTAAGTTTCTCAGAATATTGTCGCAATTACTGTAACTCTACGGTTAAATAGATTCACTTTATTGTTTGTGTTTAATTGATAGATTTTTGCAGTTGTTAAGATGTGAAGTCATGTTGGCACTTTATTGATACTTGAGATATCAATGATTTAACCTTTAAGTACTACTGAAAGCAACTTCATGCATCTGACGTTACGTATGTGTCATGGATGTGTTTATAGGGGTAGCTTTGTACTTGACTATCATGCAGTCTACTTGCAGCGCCTCATGTCCATAGAATAGAAAACACATGTATATCAAGCTTTTCTGGAACAGGTCAGTCCACAAATTCAAAGAAAGCGTTGATTACTTTGGAACAGTATTGATTACTTCTCAGTGGTCAAAAAGAAGAACAATCTTAATAAGCAAAACTTCGAGGTTTACTGGAAAACCAGGAGCGAAGATCGAGGATGGAGGATCAGGAATCGAAAGTCAGGGATAGAGGATCGGTTAAAAAAACTTGAAAATAAAATAAATAAATTGTGGATCGTGGTGATGTGGACCACAGACTGTAGATAAAATTTCACAAAACATAACCCCGCTCGCTGTACTGAGCACTAAATTTAAGTGAACTACTTTGAGTCTGACTGATTCAGTGACTCTTTTGGCAAAAACATGAAATTTTCCCTCAAAATGAAACGCTTTATCCAAGTGATACCAGGATAAAATGCACCCGGTGTACAGCTCTAAACATTGTACTCTGAGACCACGTAAACATCAACTGTACAAAGATATTAAAAGCAGATACTAAGCAGCCATGGAAATTGTAATTTTACTTTCATGCAATTTTGATATCTTATAAAACAAACAACAAATTCAACAGGAATACATGTGAACTGAATTATTAATTCTCAGTTGTATAAGGCTTTGCTACACATTTTTCTTGTGCTGAACAAAAACTGTACCAAGCCTCATCTTGTCTGCTACAAAGAAGCTATATATATTTTAAATATACTGATAAAAATCATCATTCAATTTTTTGAGTGTAAATCCCTGAAAGAGTTCTCCTCATTGGAGCAATATCAATATGCAGAAGGTTTTCAAAGGCTTCACACCAGTGTGAAGCTAAGATGTGCGGCCTGTCTCTCCTTGCAAATTTTAAGTTTTGAGTATTAAGTTACATTATGACTTATAACACTCGTTTTGTGTTCCAAACAAAAAAGTAGCATAAGAACACCAGCTGATAATATTTATCTCCAAGCAAGCAAGACTCAACGCTACTAAGAGCATTCTTGTCTTTTTCACAAAAGTTAGTAGTTTGGATTGTACGATGTTATTACTGTCAAACTCAGAAAACTGCAAACACCTGAAAAATTTCAGGAATGTTGATTGTGTACTGGCCAATCACAATAAAGTTCAGGACACGCGAGCAAACCTCAAAACCACAACCTAATTACCGTTGCTGTTTGCGGTTTAGTTATCTCACGCCTTATTGGCTAATTTCTCGCAACACAATAACATTCCATCAATATTTTGGTGTTCATGGTT